ATTTTTGGAAACCAAGACTTGGGAAGCCAAAGTAAGATAATGAGGCTAGGCCAGGCGCGGTGGCTCACGCCTGTAATCCCAGCACTTTGGGAGGCCAAGGTGGGCAGATCACCTGAGGTCAGGATTCAAGACCAGCCTGCCCAACATGGCAAAACCCCGTCTCTACTAAAACTACAAAAAATTAGCCAGCCAGATATGGTGGCACGCACCTGTAATCCCAGCTACTCCGGAGGCTGAGGCAGGAGAATCACTTGAACCCAGGAGGTGGAGGTTGCAGTGAGCCAAGATCTCACCACTATACTCCAGCCTGGGAGACAAGAGTGAAACTCCGTCAAAAAAAAAAAAAAAAAAAAATCACAAGGCTAGTGGAAGCAGGGCTGAGACTGAAGCCCAGTCTGCTTAATGTTCTCGGTTTATGCTCTTGACACCTTCACAATTGCTAACAGATGATTCAGTCTACCAAAAGTCATGATTTCTGCTTCATATATTCCTAGATTTCTGAAAGAGGGAGAATTAAGGAAGAAGCCAATTCACATGAGACAGAGGCAGAGATTCTGTTTCTGTCTGCCTGGTAGTAAATTTAATAGTCTATCTATTAAGCAGAATTTTTAGAATATCCTCTGGCTATAGGTTACTTTGCTGACGCCACTAATTAGATCCTTACCCAGGGCCCAGTCAAGGCCATTTTGTAACCCTCTACCTCCCTTCTTTGTTCTACTCCCTCTGCTTTATCCAACGTTAGATAATTGGGAATGGAAACCCAAATAGAGGAGGCAGTGCTCCTGCACCCTAATTTTATAGCCTGGAGTCTTGGGGGTCTAAATCAAGTTTTAATATTGGAACAATTAAGCAGCTTCCTGCAGCTTCACGCATAATTATGGCAAGTCCTATAAATCTAACCAGAATTCAGGGTGTTTAAACTACAATATACTCTGCTAGAGCCTATAGCAGGTGCATTTTTCAGTAGAATGGGCCCCTGATTTTTTTCCAGATGTGATTTTTCTTCTTCTTTCTTTAAAGACCTCATTTTATGTATTGAGACAGCAACAGGAAATCTCTTTGGCTTTCTTCCCTGTCCCTGCTACTCTATTTATAGTTCCAAATGTTGCCAGGTGTCAGCAACAAAATTAAAGAGGGACTATTAGAGTCTCTCCAAGCTGTTGTTGTTACTTAGGGCTCATCTAATATTTTACATTAGCAAGTTGCAGTGCAGTTGCATTCATTCAAATATTCTGAACATTTTAAAGATGCCTAATGATTTCCTGTTTTCCAAGCCCCAAACAAAGCCCTTCTCTATACTGTGTACACTTAAGCTGCTAAAACCTAAAGAATTGAGCCTGAGGGAATTATGATCCAGGCTGAAACTGTTCACTAAAAATGGCTGTGCTAGCTGGAGTGTACTCAACTTCATGTTGTGATAATGCAGATAAGTAGCTATGTTTTTGTTTTTGCTTTTTTGAGACAGAGTTTCACTCTTGTTGCCCAGACTACAGTGCAATGGCCCAGTCTCGGCTCACTGCAACCTCCCCCTCCTGGGTTCAAGCGATTCTCCTGCCTCAGCCTCCTGAGTAGCTGGGATTACAGGCACCCACCACCATGCCTAGCTAACTTTTGTATTTTTAGTAGAGACAGGGTTTCACCGTGTCGGTCAGGCTGGTCTTGAACTCCTGACCTCAGGCAATCTGCCTGCCTCAGCCTCCCAAAGTGCTGGGATTACAGGCATGAGCACTATGTTTTAACACCAAAAAAATGGAGCACATGCTTAAGGTTTAAAGGCATTCCCATGCCTTTCAAAGCAGCCGTACACGTTTGTCAACAGGTTCAATTTATTCATCTAGAAAATGGGAATAGTTTTAATTAAGTGATAACTAATGGAGGCAGGGGAGAGAATGCCTTCTCTATTGCTTTTTCTATTGCTCTCACTTAATTAGCTTTATCACAAAAGGACGTGGTGGCTCACCTGTAATCCCAGCACTGTGGGAAGCCGAGATGGGCAGAACACTTGAGCCCAGAAGTTCAAGACTAGCCTGGGCAACATAGCAAAACCCTCTCTCTACCAAAAATACGAAAAAATTAACCAAGTGTGGTGGTGCACTTCTGTAGTCCAGCTACTCAGGGGGCTAGGATGGGAGAATCACCTGAGCCCAGGAAGCCAAGCCTGCAGTGAGCCGTGATTACACCATTGCACTCCCGCCTGAGTGACAGAATAAGACCTTGTCTCAAAAAAAAAAAAGGAAAGAAAGAAACCTATAAACTCATAGCCTATAAAGTTTCATAGTTCATAGCCGTGACAGGAATTATGCAGGTGGGTGTGTATGGAGGGACAGGAGTCACAGAACACAGAGTCATTTGCTCTATTTCTCAGTATAATCCATTACGAACAAGCCTATACTTTGACCAGTGGATGTGAAGCATGTAGCTGGGTACTGCCATCTCCTCCCAGTCCTGCCAGGCAGTAGAAATGAAAACAAGGCCGCGGTGAAAAAAAAAAAATAACCAAACCTCAAAAAAGTGAGCTTGAGTTTCCCAAAGAATAAATGGTTACGAGGGCCTAGTTATAATGAGGCAATTGATGTTTGAGACTTGAACTCAGCTACTCAGGAGACTGAGGCAGGAAAATGGCGTAAACCCGGGAGGCAGACCTTGCAGTGAGCTGAGATCCGGCCACTGCACTCCAGCCTGGACGACAGAGCGAGACTCTGTCTCAAAAAAAATAAATAAAGAAAGAAAAGAAAGTTAGCAGACATCTTTTGTAAGACCAAAAGATGGAGTTAGAGAGGGACATAAGAAAACTAAACTTCTCTTCTATTATTTGCTTTGAACAATTCTATGTGTTTTAATTTTTATCAAAACCTTTGGAAGATAAATATTTTATAGCGATTTAAAAGATGATAAAAATGCCTGGTGTGGTGGCTCTGGCCTGTAATCCCAGCACTTTGGGAGGCCAATGTTGGTGGATAGCTTGAGCTCAGGAGTTCAAGATTAGCCTGGACAACATCGTGAGACCTTATCTCTACAAAAAAACAAAGAATCAGCTGGGTGCTGTAGCATGCACCTGTAGTCCCAACTACTCAGGAGGCTGAGGTCAAAGGCTGAGGTCAGAAGGATTGCTTGAGACCTGGAGGTCAATACTGTAGTGAGCCGAGATCACACCATCACTAGCCTGGGCAACAGAACAAGACACTGTCTATCTGTCTGTCTGTCTGTCTGTCTCTCTCTCTCTCTCTCTCTCTCTCTCACACACACACACACACACACACACACACACGAAAATAAGGTGCACATAGGCTCTGAACTTGCTGACATGCCAACATAAAGCTGACCTGCCCCAGAACCATAAATAATCATTACATGCAGGTGGAGTGGAGAATCAAACTCAGGTCTGTCTGGCTACAAAGCCTATGCTGTTTTCACTTTACTTTTTGAGTTTGTTTTTTTAATTACTATTCTAGGAGAAAAAAATAGCCAGCATGAATAATATTTTACATATGTTTAGTTATACTTAAATGTATTTCAGTTCTAAATAAACAGTAGAAGTACTAATAACAAAGGAGATATGACTAGACGTCCAGGAATGAAAGCAAATCAGAAGCATTTGGAAATTAGAAGAGACTCACAAGATCATTTTGTGGCTTTCTACAAAAATTATCTATCTACCAAATTATCAGTTTCTTTTACAGAACACACACCCCATCACCACCACCACTGAAAGGGAATAGAAAGTAAATGCCCCAGGTTAGCTAAGGCTGGAGCATTCCCAGGGAGGACTATCACCAGTTACTCTAAATCATGCCTCAGCCTCTCACCACTGAACTAGCAACTTAATTATACAATAAAATATAATATCTGTGATGTATTCCAGCACTCACCATGGCCCCTGGCCCCAACTTTTGCTCCAGGGCCTGAGTCCATTTGCACTAGCCCACTTCAGAATAGTTGAGGGCATGGCTTGATTCCCAAATCTCTTTGTGTTGATCATTAGCATAAACATTAATCTGTCTAGTATCTAATGACATTTTAATTGCTCTAGCCTTAGCTAAGCTGGGACATTTACTCTCTATTCAATTTTTAGTGACAGTGGCGGTAGGGTGTGTGCACATGTGTGTGGGGGGAGGATAGGGGAGCTATTGACAAAGGATGCTTCAAATTTAAAACTTTACAAAATGTCTGAAAGCTTTTCCCCACCCCCCACCCAGAGATGGAGTCTCACTCTGTCGCCCAGGTTGGAGTGCAGTGACACAATCTTGGCTCACTGCAACCTCTACCTCCTGGATTTGAGCGATTCTCCTGCCTCAGCCTCCCAAGTAGCTGGGACTACAGGTGGGCGCCACCAGGCCCGAAGCCTTCTTTTTTTTTTTTTTTTTTTTTTTTTTTTTGAGACGGAGTCTCACTCTGTCGCCCAGGCTGGAGTGCAGTGGCCGGATCTCAGCTCACTGCAAGCTCCGCCTCCCGGGTTCACGCCATTCTCCTGCCTCAGCTTCCCGAGTAGCTGGGACTACAGGCGCCCGCCACCTCGCCCGGCTAGTTTTTTGTACTTTTTAGTAGAGACGGGGTTTCACCGTGTTAGCCAGGATGGTCTCGATCTCCCGACCTCGTGATCCGCCCGTCTCGGCCTCCCAAAGTGCTGGGATTACAGGCTTGAGCCACCGCGCCCGGCCGAAGCCTTCTTTTTTAAACAAGAACAACAACAAAAGATGTTTAGACAAAATGCTGGGTTTTCATAGTCCCAAGCTTTTTATAATTGAAGTTTCTCATTTCTTTGCAACTGAAATCAGTGTGTAAATACTTGTATTAAAATGCAGAATGTTTGTGCTGTTCAAAGGTGTCCTAGAGCTTAGAGAATAGTTGGTTTATCTGCAGCTATCTCATATTGATCTTTCAGTCATCTTCAGGATTAATTGATTTGCTTCAAATAAGATTTTTGTACTACCAGCATCAGGGAGAATTTCAAAACCTCAGTGGGAACTTAAATAAGCAGAAAATATATAGAAAGTATCATAGCAAATAAATATTGTTTAGTTTACTGTACAAGTTATTCCAAAGAAACTTCTGAATTGCATGAATGAAACACATGGTTATAGAAATAAATGACCAATCAAATGAGAAAAGCAAATGCTATTTTTTCACAGCCTGCTATACTGCAAGGGAGTCAACTACTGTCGCTGTGTTTTGGCAGTGATTCAAAGGCAGAGAAATGAGAACACTTTATAGTGGGGTGGTGGGTGGGGACGGAAGGGTTCAGGTGTATCCTGATTGGAGGCTGTTGCCATGGAGAAGCTGTAAGCGGGCTAAACAGAAGTAGGGGCATACTGCATGATCGGTTAGGGGTGCATGTTTCGCTTTCTCTGTTTGGTCTTAAATTGGATGTAGGCACAAAAATTAGGGTAGATGTCAGTTATTAATCAAGTCCTGGCCGTGTGGGGCCAGTTGTTACAGAAGTTATCCGTTAGCTTCCTGGATTGTTACTAGCGATAGCAACCTGGCTTCCAGCAAATCTGTCAGAAGAAAAACTTCTCTATATTCTTTTCTTATCTTCAGTACCTGGGGCCTATACTGACGAAAGAAAGATTAAAAAGGAAAAAAAAAAGTTTTCTTCGCATACAACGAAGAAGTAGCTTGCTAATTGAAGTTAGAGGTTCATATACGTAATTTAGTAGAGAAAAGGGAGAGGGCAGAAATGGCTCTCATAGAACAAATAGGTTTCTTTAGGAAAACAAATGAGTTTTTAGGAGAACAAACAGGAGTTAAGAAAATTTGCTATAATGTTTGTTTATGCAGATGTGGGTGGTCTTTCCGTCTTCTTCATGGCCATGAAACTCCCCAGGAGAGGGGATTTATGTAGCCTCATTTTTCAGAAGTTGCTGCTGTTAATCAGATAAGACAAGCTCCAAGGATGCTATCCTCTGTATCTGTTGAATCTCAGATATCTTCAGTTTAAAATAATCTTCATATCAACTCTCGTGTTTCAAGTGGGTCCCCGCAACTTGTAGCAGGTTGGCGTCCTGAACTATTTATTGTAGATAAAGAAGTTAGTTTCCAAGGCAGGTTGTGCATAATTCAGAGTTCTATTTTTTTTTTTTATATATGGTCCAACCATTGTTCATTTATTTGTACATTCAGTCTCTGACCGTCATGTGTGATGCCATTTTGCAGGGAAGGAAGGCAGATCTTTTTTCTCTTCCTTTTCTTACAAATTCGTATTGTCATGATTACAAGCATATGTGCTGCAGTTTAAAGGAATTCAGAATGAATATGGCATATTTTCAGCAAAGTCAGCTTCTCCTTTTTGTTTCAATTGTAATTGTGCTGCAATCACACTCTGTATTGGAAGAAGATCTGTATCCCTTAGTCAGTAGATACAAAGAAAATGTGGCCGGGCGCGGAAGAGAGAAATAGCACAAATAGAAAAAAGACACCGAGACTCAATAATTCTAATTCACATTTAACTTTCATCCACTCCAGAATGGTTAGAATGACAAACCCTCTTCTTCCATACAAGCTAATGTCCTTTTCTATCTTCTCCTTTAACAATTTTAAATTGAGTTTTTCTTTTTTTTTTTTGAGACGGAGTCTTGCTCTGTCACCCAGGCTGGAGTGCAGTGGCCGGATCTCAGCTCACTGCAAGCTCCGCCTCCCGGGTTTACGCCATTCTCCTGCCTCAGCCTCCCGAGTAGCTGGGACTACAGGCGCCCGCCACCTCGCCCGGCTATTTTTTTTGTATTTTTTAGTAGAGACGGGGTTTCACCGTGTTAGCCGGGATCGTCTCTCGATCTCCTGACCTCGTGATCCGCCCGTCTCGGCCTCCCAAAGTGCTGGGATTACAGGCTTGAGCCACCGCGCCCGGCCTAAATTGAGTTTTTCTATAATTCTGAGGCTAACGCCATAGTCTCATCCTCACTAAAAGAGAGCACAGAAACTTATAGGACAAAATCAGTTGATCAAAGCAAAACAGAAATTGCAAGGGAAATAAAAGGTAGGAATCAAATATTGGCCAGGCACGGTGGCTCACGCCTGTAATCCCAACACTTTGGGAGGCAGAGGCGGCAGGTCACTTGAGGTCAGGAGTTTGAGACCAGCCTGGCCAACATGGTGAAACCCCATTTCTACCAAAAATAAAGGCTTGGCATGGTGGTTCATGCCTATAACCACAGCACTTTGGGAGGCCAACGCTGGCAGATCACCTGAGGTCAGGAGTTCGAGACCAGCATGGCTAAAGTGGTGAAACCCCATCTCTACTAAAAATACAAAAAAAAAAAAAAAAAAATGGCGGGCGCAGTGGCTCATGCCTGTAATCCTAGCACTTTGGGAGGCTGAGGCGGGTGGATCACGAGGTCAAGAGATCAAGACCATCCTGGCCAGCCGGGCGCGGTGGCTCAAGCCTGTAATCCCAGCACTTTGGGAGGCCGAGAAGGGCGGATCACGAGGTCAGGAGATCGAGACCATCCTGGCTAACACGGTGAAACCCCGTCTCTAATAAAAAATACAAAAAAAACTAGCCGGGCGAGGTGGCAGGCGCCTGTAGTCCCAGCTACTCGGGAGGCTGAGGCAGGAGAATGGCGTAAACCCGGGAGGCGGAACTTGCAGTGAGCTGAGATCCGGCCACTGCACTCCAGCCCGGGCGACAGAGCGAGACTCCGTCTCAAAACAAACAAACAAAAAAAGACCATCCTGGCCAACATGGTGAAACCCTATCTCCACTAAAAATACAATAATTAGCCAGGCATAGTGGCAGGCGCCTGGAATCCTAGCTACATGGGAGGCTGAGGCAGGAGAATCGCTTTAATTTGGGAGGCAGAGGTTACAGTGAGCCAAGATCATGCCACTGCACTCCAGCCTGGCAACAGAGCAAGACTCTGTCTCAAAAAAAAAAAAAAAAAAAATTAGCTGGGCCTAGTGGTGCACACCTGTAGTACCAGCTACTCAGGAGGCTAAGGCAGGAGAATCGCTTGAACCCAGATGTTGGAGGTTGCAGTATGCTGAGATCATGCCATTGCACTCCAGCCTAGGTGACAAGAGCAAAACTCTGTCTCAAAAAATAATAAATAATAAATAAATAAAATAAAATAAATAAAAAATATAAAACAAATAGCCAGGCATGGTGACACATGCTTGTAATCCCAGCTACTGGGGAGGCTGAGGCAGGAGGATCACTTGAACCCGGAAGGTGAAGTTTGCAGTGAGCTGAGATTGTGCCACTGCACTCCAGCCTGGATGACAAAGTGAAACTCTGTCTCAAAAAAAAAAAAAAAAAAAAAAAATTAGTGGTATCAAGGGAAAGAAGATGTTCAGTGAAAATTTTGTACTCATTTTACATAGCACACTCCACAACTTGGTATCTCTAAGTAGACTATGTTTTCAAACTGTAATCTTAATTTTTTATTAAAATAATTATAATTTAATACATGTAATATGCACTATCTGTACCAAGAGAGGGGCAGAAAGTCAAGACTGGCTTGTCTTGGGAAGAAAATGTCAAAATGTGCTTTAGATAGGGAGGGCTAATTGGCTTCCAACTTAAAATACTCAAGAAATTAGCCTACACTGCCAGGCCATTATCTCTCAGTAAGGAACACTGGGAGACAGAACATATGTGCTATGCTTAAAAAGGGCAGAAGTTATATTCATTTTTAATTAGAAAAATTGTGAGGCCCTATAAATTACAGAATATGCAACTTTCCTTGGAGTCCTAGGAAGATGCTGGGTTTACTCTTCACATAATCAGTCCAAAGACAACAACAGTGCCACGTATGGAAGAATGCTCAGCCTGACTCTGATTCTCTGAAGTGAATCTCATCAACCCATTTGCTCCTCTCCCGTAAGAGCCTACCAGGCCATATAGACAAAGTAAATACAACTGATGGAAAGTTGTTAGACTTGAATAAGATTTTAATTCTATAATACGTGATTTTCTCATCTACAAAAATGTTTAAAGTTATAGTATAAAATTTTAAAACCTTGGCAAAAGCTTATATCCAACGCGTTCAAAAGCTTAAGAACTCGATATCGCCAGAAGGACATTTCGAAAGTGTCCCATTTAAAGGCAGAGATTAACATTTTGGTCAGTATCTGAGGCTTTTGGAGCCCTGTCATTACTCAGAAAAAGGCACCTTCTCACCAGAAGATGGCTGGATGTCAGCTCATACTTATCTCTGCCCAAATATCCTTGTGCAGGACGCAGCTAAGCAGGTAGTCTGACTGCATCTGATTCCTTTTTCCCTGCTTTATTTTCTCCACAACATACAACAGCTTACGGCTTGTAGCATACTGTATGCATTAGCTTATTGCACTTATTTTTTATCTCCATACTATAATATATGCTCCATGATTATAAGAATTTTTGTCTGTTTTGTTCACTGTTCTTGTCACCAGCACCTGGTGTGCCTGATTAATCATGATAGTGTTCAACAAATATTGCTGAAATAAGAAATGAATTGGGTCAAGTGAAATAAAGACAAAATAAATTTTGAAAGCAAAAGGAATAGGATTTCCCTGTTATTTACCCAGCTTGTCAGTAAAGCCCTACCATGATAGCCAAAGTCAAGAGACGACCGTATGAGACTCATTGTTCTTGACCTAGACCTGAGCACCACTGCACAGCATTAAAATCTTCCCTCTTCCTCCTCCTTTTGGTCCTCTTCTTTGCTCTTCTTGAATTCACCAATACCAGCTCCATTTCTAAGGCAGTGTGATGTTTGCCCTCTAGTGATTTGCCACTCTGCAAGTCTGTGAAACCAGGATGAATTGGGTATACTGATCTCATCATTTCCTATGGCATAAAAGAAGCACTCTTTTTGAAGAATTTTCAGAAAATTTCCACATAGAAAACATTACAACTGAAGACTACTTTTTTTTTTCTTTTTTGAGATGGAGTCTCGCTCTATCATCAGGCTAGAGTGTAGTGGCACAATCTTGGCTCACTGCAACCTCCAACTCCCTGGTTCAAGCGATTCTCCTGCTTCAGCCTCCCAAGTAGCTGGGATTACAGGCACGTGCCACCACACCAAGCTAATTTTTGTATTTTTAGTAGAAATGGGGTTTCACCATGTCGGCCAGGATGGTCTCGATTTTCTGCCCTGGTGATCCACCCGCCTCGGCCTCCCAAAGTGCTGGAATTACAGGTGTGAGGCACTGCGCCCAGCCAAGACCGCTATTTTAAGGGGAGAGAGGGAGAAAGTGGTGAAGGCTTGATTTGAAGACTAACAGAAGAGTTATCACTTAATTTTGTCAGTCATTCTGAATCTAATCAGGCCTCTTCTATGAAAAGTGTACAGTTTTGTCTTATTTTACAAAATAAGCACTCTCAGATGTCTTTCATCTTAACAAAAATAATTTTAAAACTCTCTTCCTTGACCTTGTTGCCTTTCCAGTTGCCCCAGTCCCTTGTCTTCCTTTCATGGCCACATTTCAGGATGAAATGCCATGGGTCATTGGTCTCCCCTTTCTTACCTCCAAATACCATTCATTTCAGTTCACTTCACTCAGCTTTCCATCCATGAACATTCTGTCCTAACTCTCTTTCTTTCTCCCAAGCTATTCCTTCTCCATCCT